AAAAATAAAGAATCCCCTTATCAATTCAAACCTAATAGCAAAGATGTACATACTTCTCAACTGTCAGTCTAGTTTCAAACAAATAGGAAGGATAAACTACAGGATAAATAAAAAGTCTCAGAAACTTGACATTTTTTTCTAAAAGAGATAAAATCTAAAATTGATAAGATGTTTAGCAGGAGATTTCCTATATTGAAATATAAACATTTAATAAATAAATGAATCTTCCAGGGGAGAAGTAAATTTTTGAAATAGAAATGCCAGGCAAAGGCAATTTGGACTTAATTTTCTAATAGTCTTTAAAATCAGTTTAGATAATAAAATTCCAATTTAATGTGATTTTGAATTTTATATAATTTGTGGGAAGAGGGGAGAATTTCTAAAAGACAAACACTTTCAGTTTTTTGTTTTGTTTTGTTTTTAAGACAGTAAATAAAGCTATGGCTGGGCCAGGGATTTAGCTTAGTGGCACAGTGCCTGCCTAGCAAGCATGAGGTCCTGAGTTCGATCCCTTGTATCAAACAAAACAAATGTATGGAATTAATATTGTCTTTAGAATGTGGGAAAGTAGTTAAATGGGATTCAATTTGTGTACATAAGTACACATATATTCTGTGCACATGGATTTGAAATCTGTAATCTTTCGTTTCAATCCCACTCACTGTGACAATCCAAACAAACAAAAAGGAAATAAGATAGAATTAGAGAAAATAATGGTAATTCTTTATTATTCTTGTTAATTTTAGGAACAATGGAGTGATTTGCAAAGCAATTCAAGTATATTATCTAAATTTAATTAATAAGCTTGATATAGTTTCTATAAGCTGTTAAAATAGTTTTTACGACAAGACATATTTTCATAAATATATTTGTCAAACATTCTAAGTAAAGTTATATATTCTCTATTAGGAGATGTATAAATTAAGACTTGTGAAAGCGATAGAATGTATCGGAAAAAGCTGAGGTTAAAATTTTATTTAAATTTCTAAATATAGCTGTCTTAGTTACTTTTCTCTTTGCTGAGACAAAATACTTGACACTCAAAGTTAAGGGAAGAAAGGTTTATTTTGGCTCACAATTTGGAGAGGTTTCAGTCCATAGTCAGCTGGCTGCAAGGCAAGGTGATGTGGTAGAGGCGCATCAAAGAGGAAAAAGTGTCCATGGCAAGCAGGCAGGTGAGAGCACATTACCCTTCTTTCTGCCCCTTACATTTTATGCAGGACAGCCACCCAAGGGGAGGTGTAGTACTCACACCCTTAATCCTAGCTATAAGAATGTCAAACCAATCAGTGGACTGATTTAGTAATCACACACCCTTGATCCCAGAACCACACATTCTAGATCCAACCACCTCTGAAAAGCCCCACCTATGACTTCATAAGACTTTTGGGGACATCTAGACACAAGCCATAACAATAGGTTAGCTTTTCAAATATATATTATTGATACAATTTACAGTCTATAAGAATTTTCATTTAAAATATCATTGTAGGACCGGGGATTTAGCTCAGTGGTTCTGCAGCCTGCCTCATAAGCACAAGGTCCCCAGTTCAATCCCCAGCACCAAAAGAAAAAAAAACAAAACAACAAAAAACCCAAATAAAATATCATGTAATCAGATTGTTGAGAGTAAAATTATATCAGTACTTTATATGTAGTCTCCAGTTAATGTCATTGCTGGACCTCTTCAGCTTATATTTATATAATGCATTGATCAAATATTTTTTGAGTTTCTTGTATAGAATCCAGCCTGTGCTACATACTGGAATAATTCATGGAGGAATAATTCAACACTAACAGTGGAAATAAAACCTGCATACATAGTATATAAAAGGTCATTCACTAAATTTCACCAGTATTAAGGACAATTTTATCCTATAACATAAGGTACACTTGTAAAGTTAATAGAAAAAGAAACTTGAATTTGGGATAATTTTTTGAATTTTGGCAATTGGTCCAAAATTACAGCACTATGGACAGTAATAAGAACCTGAGAGGAGACAAGTGTTGTGAAAATCTGATGAGGGTAACTTTCTTTGTGCATCTCTCAATGTAATCCTCTCTTTGTACGCAATTAGTAGTTTACAAGTCAGCCTCCATTCCTAAATGAAGTTTTGAAGTACAGGGAATGAGTATTCACTCTGTATTCTCCAGAGTTTATTTTGGTTCTTGGCATTCTTTAGATACATAGTAAATATTTGTCACATGCATGAATGTAGACATAAAATTAAAGGATGAGATCTTCTGAGACATGAAAAGTGGAGAGATAGATTTCAGAGTCATTATACATGAAATGGAATCATGACTACTGTACGTCTAGCCACCACGTGGTACATAAAAGTGGTTCAATGTTTGCAGGCAGGCGTTCAGGAAACAAAGAATGACAGACACTGAGCTGACTCAATAAATATATTACGAAGAAGAAAAATGGTTAATGTCTACACTTTGAAAAGTACTATAAAGTAATGGCAAGAGGGAGAAAAGTAGGCAGTGACAAGTTCAGAAATGAAAAGTTAAAAGAAAAATGTGGGAATAATAGTGTGTCATGTTTAGTTTTACAAAGCACTTTCACATTATTTCATTTTAATTCTGACAATCCTGAAAGGGAGAGGAGGTTTTATTACAGTCGTTTTTTGCTTTTTTCTGTTTTTTAATAGATCGCTTAGCTCTGAGTCTCAGAAAAGTTAATTGACTGTGAGAAAAGGACTTTGAAGAGAAATATTTAACAATGTCAAATGCAAAAATCAAATAAGGAGCAAAAACATGTTACTGCATTTGGGCATGCAATTCATTGAAGTCTATGCAAAGTGAGAGTGGAATGAAGGCATGAAAAGAGAGGCTAACTTTGTAAGAGTCATGGGTTATATTAAAATAAGTATCACATCTGATTACAAAAATCATAGCACCCAGGCATTACAAGGGACGATATTTGAGGCAGAAGGAGGATACTATGAATACCTTCCCAGCCAAAAAGACAGTTTGCTTCCAGTCAACTTATTTACTCTATATTTTAAATATGTGGTCTGCATGTGAAATTTTCACAACTTCAACATTATGAAGATTTCAAATGTCATTTGTGCAATATCTTCTTGATCAACTTCTAATAAAAATTTACACCCTGCCTTGGCTTCCATCCCCAAACATAAATGGTACTGAAAATATGTAGATGGACTAAGAGACGCATTAGCACTATGGAACACTGAGGCTGTCGCAGACCCCTCTGATGTGGGAAATAGCGCTTTATTCATGTAAACACCCAGGGGCCCTGGGAACACAGGTGACTCTATTTAAGGATGATTTCACCAATCAGTTTGTTATGTCATATCAGTGGGGACAAAAAAGCACAATGAAGAGCAGTATTTTCCCTGACTTCTCTCGACACAGGTAGCATAGTGCATATGAAGCACTGGAGGAAACTGACAACAGGGAATATATTCTGGAACTTATAAAGGTTTAAACTTATTTATATAATAATAAATGAGAATGCACTCATTTTAAGCTTATTTAGGTAAACATAATACTTCAAATTGTTTTCTTCATATTTTAAATGCTAGGTTAAATCAGTTACACACACACACACACACACACACACACACACACACAAGCTTAACAAAAGCTGTTTAATGTGATTTGACCCATAGCTACTTAGGTTTGTTTAGGAAAAGATGCAACTTTCTTAATATTAGGATTGTCAATTATGAAAGATAAATTCAGGTAGCTAAATTGTTTTTGATAGGTAAATCATAAACAGAATTGCTAGTAAACATGATGCAACACTTTATTCAATTTTTGTTTATGTGCAGAATATTGAAAACAATGTATTTTGTTAATTGAATACAATTTACACACTATCCTTTTTTCTTTCTGAACTCAGTTAATGAATAAACAAACCATTTATGTCTGTCTAAATATCATATAAACATCTATATGAAAAGTGACAAATTCAAGCCATCATCTAGGTATCTGAAAACATTTATCTTAATGATATTAAACATCTTGGTATTTTCAAATATCAAGATGTTTGACGTCCTGCAGATAAAATGTCCTGATAACTGGTTGAATTTTATGAATCTGTTGCATAAAAATATATGTTTGCATGAATGCACTGCTTCCTATTTCAGATACAACAAAAAATTTTGGCATGATATAGTACGAAATCATAGACAGGCATCCTTAGGTTTAGATTTTTTGTTGTTTTTATTGTACTTAGTGAAATTCTGAGTTGGAGAAATCACTTTTACTTCCCTTTTCAGAAAATAAAAGGGATAATTATCATTCCAAGGGTATGAATTAAAAGGTAAAGGATTTGGGAAAAAAAGATATCGAGGTACTTCAGCTTCCATCTACGGTGGCCCAAAAAGACACCATGTGCATGTGCATGTGCATGTGTGTGGGGTAAATCACAAAGTAATCTTAACAGATTGACTTGTCAATTGAAATGTTATAGAAAACATCTCCTATTCCACTTTAGTTTTAAACATTTTGTTTTTCCTTAGGATGTCCAGTTATGCCATCCAGATAAAATGACAGGAGTTTGAAATTTTTAATTTGATGATGATTGCAGAGATGGTTTGTCATGAGGACAGTAATAATTTAATTCAGTTTTCTGGCTATTTATTAGGTCAAAATTTGTCTGCATCATTCAAGACTGGCTACCTGAGCCTTTCCACTACATTTTCTTATACTAGTATAATTGAAGACAAAGCCATTCTCATACAGTAAATAAGACAAACAGTATTATAAAATAGAATACATATTTTGGAGATCAGCTTAAAAGAAAGATTCATTTTTTGTTCAGTTTTCACCACTTTAAAAATAATTCTGTATACTTACTATATACCATTTCTAAGCCTTTTAAATCAAGATTGTTTGCACTCCATACTAGAAAGGTAAAATGAATTCTAACGTGAAAAACAATTACCTGAATCCTGGAAACAATTATTGAACTAAAATAACAGAACACTGAATAACAGAGCAGTGTTAGCCCAAGAGCACTGTACCTGTAGGATCACTCAAAACTGAACCAAAGGCACTGATGACCACGTCAGCTTTCAGGCGGACTATCTGATCTTCATCTTCATTCCATTTTCCAGTTTCATCTTGCTCTGTCCGAATAAATTGCATTGCAACAATTCTCCCACCTTTTACTATAACCTTCTTTGGGGCTAGGAAAGGCAAAAATTCACACCGTTCTTCTTTAGCCAGCTCCATCTAAACAAAGCAGAAAAAAATTAAAATATTTCTATTCCATACATTATTTGATTTTTAATTCCACTGTCATGCTAACACATGTGGAAATCAACATGAAATTTATCTTTAACCAAAGTTGAGTTCAAGTTATCGGCTTTTTGTAAATTTCTGTAAATTCAATTGTAAATTAATGAATTCAGAGGATCTTGAGTTGAAACTGTGACATGGAAGTTTATAGATCATTGCATCCTATTTGTCAAGTTTTAGGTACTGCATGCCCTCCACATTGAGATGTGTGAGATTTTAGCCTAGTCTCTTTATGAATTTATTTCTGTAGATTAAGCTCCATTTTTAATCAAACTGCATATAAAAATAAATAGTTTTGTTTATTAACAGTGTTTGTATATCTAAGTTGGAAAAAAGTCAATAAAGTGGGTGAGCCAATCTGTCCAAGTACATGATTAGAACAGAAGGTAGGAGAACAAGCTAAAGAAACTTTGTGAAACCAAAACATAAAAATTACATACTTTCTGCTATAAAAGTACAGAATTATAATTATAAATGAAAATTTGAAGAAAGAGAAACAAGCACACTCCTCCTAACAAATTTCTGCTTCCTTCCCATCTCTTCTATAGTATTTCTTTCTTCCATAAAACAGGGATACCCTGATTTTCACACCCACAAAAGAATGATTTACACACAATGTCAAGATTTATTTATCTGATCGTTTTGCACTCATTGTTTTTGGGAAAACCCAGGCTTCTATCAGTATAATCTGAACTAGTATTTTGAGTATTCTTTTTATAAAAAAAAAAATAATGGCCTATTGAAGAGGTCTTTCTGGGTCTGTGGAAGCCAGTTGGATGCTCAGGAGGCCCTTAGAGGAGAGGAGTGGAAAAAGTTATATTAAGAATTACCTGAGGTAAATTAAGATGGAAATACCGAGACATAAAGAAACTTATGTGATGTTGGACTTATCTGTGTCTTATCTCTCAGCAAATGATCCCTTCTTAGGTACACATCAGGGTTTGGTAAAATAGACTGGATGGGCCCAATATGAGGTTTTCAAATTATATGGATTTGGGAGAGTGATTAGGTTTTTCATGTCTAACGAGTTCCTAGTTGTGCAATGCTCCTGGTCCATCAGTGATACAATGTGAACCAGTTTTCTTAGACTACAACTGATTATAGTTTCCAATAGCTTATAGCATGCTTTCTTTATGCCAAAAATGTTTCCCCAAAGGTGTACAGTATATAAACAGATTTGTGGTATATCTATAGTATTAAAATTATAAGGGAGGGTATAATTAGGAAAAACAATTCCAAAATCAACAAAGGCTGCTATGTGAGTAGAGACTGTAAAACACACAATTTGGAAACTCCAGTCCGCACTACATATCAACTTGAAGCAATTCAGCCTGTATCTCATTTAGGCTTTTAAAAAATATTTCCTTTAAAGATTTAACAATTGGGCTACATACAGAGTTATTCTACATTGCTTCTCTTTTCAATATTAAATTAACAGATTAATGACAGCAAGAATGCTGAATATGCGGGGTAATGTGGAAGTAAAATATAGAAAACAGAGTATCTGAAAAAGCTCACTATGTAAACATACAGATTAGATGTGAGTGGAATTAAATCAGGTTTTTAAACCTGCTTTTACTAACTGAGGTAAGTTCCTTGTACATAAAGTGGGGATAACAGCACCTAATTAAATTACTATGTGACGCTACTTAAAACAATTCAGAAATGTAAAATGCCTAAAATAGATCTTAGCCCAAAGAAATCACAAATAAAAGCTAGTTATTCATAGTTGCTATTCTCTGAATTCTTTTTCTCAGTCATTCTCAAAGTATTTAATACCACTTAGCAACACGAATGTGATTTCTGGAGAAAAGAGGCCCAGTAACATGGGTCAAAAAATTAAAGGAAAAAGACAAACCTTAGACACTTTTGAATTCCTATTTTAAAATCTACGGTATTTGAAAGGCAAACCATTACTTAAATGATTTAAACTACAAAATAAATATGGTACCAATATGTAAGATAAGTTTTCTCTGTATCATTTTTTTCACATATCAGTAATGCAGCACTTATAACTACTCGTCAACATAAACAAGTTTATTGTGTTTCAAAAATGTCAAGTGATGCTAAATCTTGATGATAATGCCACACTTGATTGAATAACAATGCCAAATGTTTATGGTTTGAATAAATCAATACACCATGTGTATTTATAACAGTACTATTTTCTGTGGAAGATACAAGTAAAATACAGAACTATGCTGCACATTTGCCATTGTGTGTGTTACAGATCTAAGATCTATATTGTGTTATTCTACCTTTCTTATCTATTAATACTTAGCACTTATTATTATACACAGAAAATCTCACACATTTTGGTCCATTTGGTATAAATTTGGAAAGAAAAGTTAGACACTAATAACTAAAACTATAAAGTAAAAATTATCACAGATTTGATGCCTGAAAATGTTCCTAACATGGGTTTTGTCTATTGAGGTATTGAAATGCTTGCACATAAAGAAATTGGGTTTTAATATATGTGCAGTTTACACTGCATTTTTCTAATGCACCAAGGCTGATAAGTTTTATTTAAATATGAACTTTCCTGCAACTATCTGACAGTACATAGAAGCAGAGCCTTATGAGCACTGGTCCAACACAGATTATTCTGAATCTTTGCTTTAGTAACTTTAGAATGCTCACTGCTCTCTGAAAGATATAGAATTAGCCCATATAAAGTGCACCACTTGCTACAGTCATTTTGGTATTAAATAAGTATAGTTTCCATTTTATGGAAGGAAGGGGATATGTGCAAAGGACTTAAAGACATTATTTGAACACATATTTATTGGAAAGTATTAATATTATATTGAGAAAACAGATACGAAGATCATGATAAGATTACTTTAGGCAACAGAAAAAATTAGGATAACAAGAATTCAGGACAAGTGAAGAAAACTGTAAGGTGAAATATTCTTTGAATATTTCTTTGTGTACTACACAGAAGTTAATTTTCAATATTTAATAGGTATAACAAGAAAAGTAAATTATAACAAATATTGATAAAGGTATTCTTTTAAGTGCTTTACATATAACTTCTCTTCACATAGAAGATGAATTGTAACACTTAAATATTACTTATAGCAAAAATATTAAACTTTAAACAAACTTTGTGTTCTGTTGTGATACAAAAGTCCATCATGAAACTGGGCACAGTCAGATCAGAATTTAACCCCAAGCTACAGGTACTCATCCATCTGCTAACGTGACTAAAATACCCGCATGTGAAGAAGCATTACAAACTGAGTTTCCTTAATCTAAAATTGCAAAATCAACATCTGGAAAATCCAAAACTTTTTGAGCACTGGCATGAGGCTTCAAGTGAAACATTCCACATATGACCTCATGTGACTAGTTGCAAGACATAAGCCCACTGAAATTTTTTTTTAATTTAACTTCATGTAGAGATACAAGCAACATAAATGAATTTCATGTATATACTTGGGTCACGTTGCTAAAATATCTCACTATGTATATGCAAATATGCCAAATTTTCAAAAATCCAAAATCTAAAACAAGATCCAAAATTTAAGTACTAAGCTCTTCAAATAAGGGGTACCCAACATGTATTTCTTTGGAGGGTGCTAGATATTAAATCCAGAGCCTTGCACATGCTAGGCAAGCTCTTTAACATTTAGCTATGGCCTCACCCCTTAAATTTTTATTTCAAGATGGGGTCTTTTTAAATTTCCCAGGTTAGCCTTGAACTTGCAATTCTTCTGCCTCAGCTTCCCAAGTAGCTGTAATTACAGGTATGTATAACCACACCTGGCTGCTGTATTTCCTTTTTCAGAAGTAAAGCAGAGGCTCAGAGAAGAAAAAGATACATAAAGAGATGACAAATTTAACTATAATCCTAAGTTGGCTAAAACCATATTCTGGGTTTCATTTTGGTGATGGGCATGAACTACAGTATGCAGTAAATCAAAGACTGAGATTTGATGATTCTGATTGCTGAAATCCAAGCACAGAGAAGTGAAATAGGAAAGGATTCAGATAAAGCTAAAAGAGAAAAAAAAGAGTTGGCTGGACAAAGGCTGTCAGCAGTGGGAAGAGGAAATTCAAGTTTCCCTGGGCAAGTTAAGTTCAAATGTACCCTAGAATGATGAATACAGTAATTAAGGCATAGATATACAAGCCTAATATTTAAAGGAGTTAATAGACTCCTTGAATCCAGAGGAAGAGTAACGTTGGAACAAAGAAAGTTCTAGTCCACAAATTAGACACTAGAAACACAGAACGCATTATCAAAAGGCAAAAACAGTTTCTTCGTTAAATAGTAAATGTCTTCACAATACTCTAAAGTATAGAAAATCTGTCTTATTAAACTTTGTATCCCTAATGTGCAGGAAAAAATTTGAAATAGTCAAAATTAATAAGTACAAGCAAATGAACTTTCAGACAAACTTCAAGTAAATAGAAATATATGCTGATCAATATGTAATACAAGGAACATTAAAATAGGGCAAAATCTATCCAACTTCTGTGTCTACCAAGATGACTAACATACAGTAGAACTTGAATAAATTTTTGTCTACCAATATGTATAATAACCAATTTTAAAAAATATAGGTTATTAAAATAATGACAGGACAATCAATTAATTATATACTGAATGAATTATCTGCTAAACACCCATACCAATGAAAGTAATGGGCATGTTACCTGGGCTGATCACAACTTTTTTTTTAATAGAGTCTTGTTAAATCATTAAATTGTCCATCTGGATTTCAACTTTGAATATACCAGATTTGGCCTCCCAGAATGTAGGGACTACAGATATGTGTCAACACACCTGGCCAAATAATCCTATGTTGACAGGTTAAAAAAAACACAAAAAAACAAAGGCCGGGTGTGGTGGCGCACACCTGTAATCCCATCACTCGGGAGACTGAGGCAGGAGTATCACTGTGATTTCGAGACCAGCCTGGGCT